CCCCACCGTCCGCGCCGCTCCGCGGCGCCGCCGCCGCCTCGCCGCCGTCCTCCCGCGGCGCCCGGCCGCCATCGGCCGCCGCGGCCGCCACCTCCCCCGGCGGCTCCGCGGGCACGGCGGCGGCGGCGGCGGGCGCGGGCGGCGGCCCCGCGGCGCGGTCAGGGCGCGGAGCGAGCGCGGCGCTCCCCGATCCGCGGCGGTGCCGTTTGGCCGCAGGCTCGGCGCTGTCGCTGCCGGGGCCGGCGGGGCCGCGCGGGCGGAGCGGCGCAGCGTCCCCGTCCGCCATCTTGGCGCCGCCGCAGCCGCCGCCCCCCTCGCGCCCGGCCCCCCCCGCCCGCCGCGGGCAGCGCCGCCGCACGTGATCGCGGCACGTGACCGGGCAACAACAAACCAGAGCACGTGACCGGGGGCGCTGCCGGCGTCACGTGGCGCTCGTGCCGCCTCACGCCCCTTCCCTCCGCCGGCCCCGCCATGGCGGCGCCAAGAGCCCGAGGGAGCCTGCGGGGGCCTGAGGGGCGCCATCGACCCGGCCCCGTACCCTGCCTTCCCTTCCGTTCCTGTCCCTGCCTGTGTCCCACACAGCCCGCCCCTGCCGAGCGATGACAGCGCGCGGTTCCTCTGCACTCCCCGGTCGGCGGTTCCCGGCAAATGGCGGCTCCGCTGTTCGCTCCTCGCCAGCGGCGTGAGAAGCCCTCGGGGCTCACTCTCCGTCAGGGTATCGGACAGACCGTGCCCCTTCCCGAGGGCGAGCTCCCCGCTGCAGTGCCCTGTGCTGGGCTGTGCGGTACCTGGCCAGGGGAACCCGCCCGCCGGGGCTGCCCCTGAGCCCGGTGGCAGCCGCAGAGCGGCGCCGGGGGCTCGGAGCGGCCTCTGAGCGCACGGAGCTGAGGGTGAGGGTGAGCCCTGGGCACGGCCGCTGCCTGCCTGCCTGGGCAGCGCACCGGCACCGCGGGCAGGGCTGCTGTAAGGGATCGCCCTGTGTGCTCCGGGATAACACCTTGGCCCCACCTGGGGTTCTGCATCGTGGTACTTGAGTTCCCAGGATGCAGGAGCTTTTTTGGGGGGGTCAGCACCTGTCTAAACCGATGCTGCTTTAGGAATGGAGCCTGCGTGGTGTAGGAGTGACCTGATGGTCAGCGGCGAGAGTTGGGATTTGTTCGAACACGCCCAAACCCATTGTGTTTCCCGAGCTCCGCAGGGCTGCGCACGTTGGTCTCCCTGCTTTCCCAGGGATCTCCCGTTCTGTGGAGGGTAGGAGCAGTCCTTAGTGTCCCAGCTGGGCGCTGCAGCGGGACCATCCCTGCACAGCAAACAGGAGGTGCCGCGCCTGGGCATTCCATGGCTTAGTTTCTTTCCACCTGGGAGTTTGGACTGGATAGAACTCGGACTTTTTCCCAGGACTGCCACCAACCTGGAATTTTGGTCTAAACTTCGTGGATAGAAATTTAAATACTGGTTTGTTGTTACTGTTCAACATCACGAGCTATTTGCAGAATAGTATTAGTGGATTTAATACAATGGAACTCCTGAATTTAGTAGCAAGACCCAGGTTCAACAGGTAGAATTTCCCCCTTGCAGTCCTTGATAACAAACAGCTTTTTAAAAAAAACTTGGGATTAAAAATTTTGATACATATGGCTTCAAAGGGATTACTTTATGGATAATTAACTTTATAGGTGGTCTTTGTAGGGGGAAGGAGGTTAGGAATTTTTTTCTGGTTCTTTCCGGTACTAACAACCCTGAAAAATACATACATACTGATTTTTCCCACTACTTGCTTCTCAAAGCAAGCTGCAAAGTAATTAGATCAGAAAGTCTTTGTTATTCTGTGCAACTTTGTATGGAAGCGTTCTTTTTCCTGCTTGCCTCTGGAAGCTGAGGCAAGATCCATATTTCTTAAAAAACACATGCAAGATGCTTTTGTCAACATATAAAGGGGAGGTGGGGCTTTAAGATTGGTTTGGTGGTTATTTTTGTGAAGACAGTTCTAAGGAAGAAATAATCCAAGTGCTGCAGATGTAGGATCTGAGGCTTTCCATGGAGGTAACTCAGGGGGTGACTCAGGGATCCCAGAGCCTCCTCTGATCCTGCAGACATTTCCCCACATTAGTGATGGCTTTGCAGGAGTTGCCTTCTTGTGGGAGGCAGTTTGGCAGTGCTTGGGTCCTCTCCTGTTTCTGCAGCTCTGAGCTTGTGTGAGGACAAGGATGGGGGCACACCATGCAAAACTCAAACGAGTTGTCTTGTGCCTTGGACTTCTCATAAATGTGTTCTCTACCCTCAGGAAGCAAAACCCTGAAGTCAATTGAGAACAGGTCCTGTAATATTTGATGTATTTTACAGGAATGAATTCAAATAGAGATTTATTTAAAGGGCTATTTATGATTTTTCCAAGTTGTTGGTAAATGTCCTGTTACATTGAAGTAGAATTTAGATTCACTCTGAGCTCTAAACAAATAGAATTGTCAATATGTGTTAGGACTGAGAGACATCTTTTGTTGGTGGCTGGGTACAGAGAACAAATATGAGATTTCCTCACTTCCAGAACAGTTTGTACATCCTGAGCAACACAATATGTAGGCAATAGTCTGTGCCATCTCCTGTGCTGCAATTCCCTTTTAAATGAACTTTATGTCCTGGAGCCAATCTCTGTAGTTTTTTTGTGTAACAGGTATGGCTGCCCCTGCTGTCCTTTTTGATGATCCTTTGGGAGCTGTCCCTCAGAAGTCAACAGGAGCAGTGAAAGGCTGAGTTCCCGCTCAGCGCATTTTGTGTTCTCCAGGCTGCAGCTGTGCTGTGGAGCCCCCAGCACCGGAGGGGCAGAGCCCTGCTGAGTGTGGCCTGGCCAGAGGGGCACAGGCAGGGCTGAGGCTCCGGGAGCCCATCCCCTGCCAGCTGCCAGCTCCCACTTTGTCACTGCAGTGCAGCCCTGGGACCTGCAGCTGCCTGGCAGCACAGAAAGAGCCACTGAAAGCTGCCGGGGAAAAGGGTTAAAGGGCTTCCCTTTCACCTTACGCAAATACACAAGGAATACTTGGAAAAGAAAGGGATGTCAGGAATGCTGTTGGGAGGAGGGACAGCTGTTTGTTTTTTGTCCTCCCACAGAGTACAACCTATTTAAATATTTACGTGTTCTGTTATTAAAAGACTTTCTTTTCTGTACTTTTCTGGATATTAAGTTCTGAATGGTGGAGATGGAGAGATTTGTAATTGCTAATTCTTCCACTTGTAGTGACGTTGAAAAAAGAATTCTGTTGTTTTATTTACTCAGATAAATATGTTGGTAGAGTTCTCTATCAGATTTAAATGGTTTCACCAAAGATTGTGCTTTTTCTGTTAATATTATTGCTTTTAGTTACTTTGTATATTTTATAATCTTAGTAGGCTATCTGAACATGCAGTAAAAGTAGAAAATTTTAGATGATGCAACCTTGAAGAGAAAATGGTGGAAGATTAATATTAAATGCAGAACATTTTCAATGCAGATATTAAAGCTCTTGTGGATGCAAAAATTTTGTATTTGTTATTCATAAATAGCTCTGAATGGTCACTGGGCCCTTCATTGTTTCACACATGGCCTGTTCCAGCCTTGGTCACATCCGGGGCATCTGTTCTCCTACAAGGTCACTGCATCTAGAACTGTATAACCACTCACAGCATCTATTTGCAGCTGCTAAGGAAACATCAGGAGTTAGTGACATGAAACATCTTGGGTTGCAGAGCTCTTGCCAGGGGTGGGAAATGTAATACCAGAGCTCTGAAGGGTCCAGGGCAAAGACATCAGCCTGTGGTTAGGTTAGGAAGTAATCTTTTGAAACCAACAGATCATGGGTGACACCAAATGTGTCCGGAGTTGCTGTTGGGCTGAGACTTTGGTTATTAATCATAGTTGAAAATTAAGATATTTCACCTCAATGTAAAATGAGTTTCACGAGGAACATGTTTTGCACACAGAACAGACCTTCAATATGCAGTCTGAAAGTAATTTGGCATGAGAAAGAGTAGTTTCATTTGATAGTAGACAGTGAGTGAGCGTTTCATGTCCTCAGGTAGTTTCAATTGGTCAGAGTGAGCGGTGTACCATTGCTGTTTGGTTTTCAGGAGCAGTGTCTGTGTACCAAGGAAACCTTCAGAGAGTGAAGGTTGCTCCCTTGGTGTTGAGCTGACTGGCAGACTTTGGCAAGGTTGGTGCTTTCTTCTCCAAAGTTTGCACCCTGTAATTGTTATTTTGGAAGTAATCCTTACTCTCATCTGTAATTACCCATCTAATGATCTGGTCAAAGATGGTGGCAAAAGTTGTAAATAAAAATTGAACAGGTGATGGCCCAGGTGTGGGGCAGCCTCTCGGTGTGTGCTTGGTTTGCAGTGACTGCACGGGTGATGGTGAGAGAAATCTCCGGCCCGTTTCAGTGCCCGGAACCCTGCGGTCTGAGCGGGAGCCACGGTTTAACGCTGGAGTGACTGTGGCAACTACAAATCCCAGGGAGCAGTGCCAGAGCAGCTCCGTGCGGGCGGGCTGGCAGCGAGCGGGGCCAATGGCAGCGGGGAACTCCCCGCTCCGTGCGGGTCAGCTGCCAGCGCTCAAAAGCGCCGCACGGAGCGGAGCCGGCTCCGGACTGCCAGCGCCTGTCGCCCTGGGCTGCTCCAGATCCCCGAGTGAGCTCTGCCTGCACGCTGTGCCCCGCAGCCTCCCTGCCGGCTGTCCCTGGGCTGCTCCAGGTTCCTGTGCGAGCTCTGCCTGCACGCTGTGTTCTGCAGCCTCACTGCCGGCTGTCCCTGGGCTGCTCCAGATTCCTGTGTGAACTCTGCCTGCACGCTGTGCCCCGCAGCCTCCCTGCCGGCTGTCCCTGGGCTGCTCCAGGTTCCTGGGTGAGCTCTGCCTGCACGCTGTGCTCTGCAGCCTCCCTGCCGGCTGTCCCTGGGCTGCTCCAGGTTCCTGGGTGAGCTCTGCCTGCACGCTGTGCTCTGCAGCCTCCCTGCCGCCTGGGGAAGCCCGCTGGACCTGTGCCGATGGATGCGATCCTGAACTGCAAGCCGGAGGACCTGGAGGATTACTACAACTTGCTGGGATGCGATGAACTATCGACGGTAAGAGCCTCTCCCTCCTCGCCAGCTATTCACAGTTTGAACGTGCTCCTGTGTCTGCAGGGAATCTGCGGGCAGGAATATTTGAAATGCCTTGTGCACCTTCTTTCTTGCCACTGATAGGATCTCCCTTGGAAAGCTCAGTTTTATCTCCTTTGTTTTCTCCGACATTTAGAGCCTGGAGTAAGGCTTAGGTTGAAAATGCCATGCAGAACAGGACTGGATTATGGAGAGAGCCAACTGCATGTGTTTGACAGCATCCAAATAATAGTTTATAATATATATTATTGGTTTTGAAAACTGAAAAAGAGCTATTTATGTACAAATAATACAGTGAAAGTTCATAGCTTTAGGGCACTGATAACGCTGATGAGTTTCTTGGGCTTTATACATAGTATAATATTTTTTAAAATGTATTCACTTGTTCAGATGAAAACAAAACCAATATCTCTTTATAATTTACCATATTAATATTTTTAAATGCTGTTTTAAATTAAATTCAAATACTAAAGTTACTAACTTGTTTTGATAGCAGATACATGCTTTATAGTGAGATTTAGCTAATCTCACTATAGTGAGATTAGTGTGCATCGTGTTAAAGGTGTCCATACAACTTTTTATTGGCTAGTCTAGTAAGCTGATTTTCTCTTCTTTTTTTTTTTTTTTTTTTTTTTTTTTTTTTTTTTTTTTTTTAAATTTAGCTGTTATATTAACTGGAATTGTGTTTCTGATTTGGAAAAGGAGTTTTGATTACTCTGCTGTAATGAGGGATGTAGTCAGTGGAGATAAAAGCTGTCTGTCTTTTGCTCAGTAAATTTAATCAGTAAATTTGCTCTCACCTGTCCTAGTGGTGAAGTATAAAGATCGGGAGTAAACATCTTCAGTGTGTCCCGGAGGGAAATGTAAAGCTTTTCCCGAGGGCACTCCCAGAAGAGATCCCAGCAGAGGGCAGTGCTCAGGGCTCCACGCAGCCTTGTTTCACAGATGCTTTTTCTCACTTTCTACCTCACGCTAATTCCTTAAGGGCTTAGCAATTAATGAACAATTCAAGTGCATGCAATAATAATTCCTCAAGTTGCTTGAAAATGAAATGTAAAAGCTGGAATAAATGCTAATGGGTCCTGAAAAACAAGCTCTCGAGTACTGTTTGTTGGGAGAAGCAGCAGATGTTGCTGCACTGCTTTTGACACGGGAGGAAGAACTTGGAGATCCCAGGCTGAGTGAGCTCCAGGATCACCTCCCTTCAGGAGCCTGCACAGCCCTTCGGGGATTTTGCAGTCTCACGACCTTGTCCAGGAGTGGAGCATTTGGCACAGCATGCACAGCACACTCCCAGCTGCAGCATTTTCATCATGAGCTGCTGAATATCCCGCTCTTGGTTGGACCTGGTTAAATTTAAGCAGAAATACTCTCAGTTTCTACAGACTTTTTGCTATATTCAAGTAAACACAGACCAAGTTCATTCGTGGCTTCTGGTAGAATTGAGCTCACAGACACCTACTTCATCTTCAGATGTGACAGGAAGAGGGGAGATTTAATCTCCATCCTTCTTCAAGAACAATGCTGGTTTTGTATAGTGGGTATTGGATGTCTTTCTGGGTGAAACACCTCATTATATATTTTATATTAATTTTGTGTATGTTCTATAAACTTCCTATCAAGTTTTCTTTCTACTGATGTTTTTTTAAGCTGAAAACTTCCATGCTGCCCTTCTGCTAAATTTTAACCCTCTGTACACATTTTAACTTTAAAGTTCCCCTTTAAGTAACTAAGTGTTTGAGATGATAGCTGGCTATACAGTAACCAGTCTCACCAAGTTCTCTGTACACTGTGTGTGTTTTAAAGTGTCTTACTGACTGCAGATACACCACATTACATCTGTCCCTCTGGAAGGAGCTTCTGAGCAGAGTGAAAAGTGTAGAATTCTTAAGACACTACCGTAGATCACATTTTTTCCCAGAATATGCCAACAAGATTTGCCCAGCTAGTTGAGCGAACTGTAATTTTATTCTAAATAAAAAAATGCTATGAGACTTAATTTTGAAATAAATAATTTAAATTGTATGTGGCTCTTATGTTTGGAGAAATGATGAATTTGTATAAACAGCCTTTGTAGTTTGGGAAAGAATGGTAATTTTTGATTCCTTAGGGTGAATTGTGAAAGCTTAAGCTGAACTGGAGTGATATAAAGAAGTTTTGGCTTCTGAATTATAAGAACCAGCAAGATACTTGGAAAAGCACTAAATATTTGAAAATCTAAGCTGATGCCCACTCCAGTGGCTTCATGGCTCCACATGTGTTAGTTTTTCCAGTGGTTGTAATACTTTATGGTATAACAAACGGTGGAATTTGCAATTAACTGATCAACTAATACATGCCAATATTCTCACATTGATTATAAATCTATTCTACTCCAAGCCAACCTTTTTGCAAGGAAAATTAACTTGAAGAAAGAATATGTACCACAGGTTATGGAGTGAATTATCTTGTGGTGTCCAAGATAAAAACCTCATGGGGTGCTGGCTGAATTTCCTGTGAAGAGGATGTGGAGGAAGCCACCCAAATACACAAATTGATCTTCAGCAATGCAGAGAGCCTTTGCTTCCTGCTATGAGACTCTGTTGAAAGCTGGAGTTGATTAAACAAAGTACAGAGCAACTGAAGGGATGCATTTTGCCTCTGTGGTCAAATGTCTTTGCACATTTTTCTCGAGCCATGCTGGCTGACTGAGCCTCACAAAAACAAGACTAAGGATGAGTGCATGGAAATGAGATGAAATAAGCAGTGTCACTGGCAGATGGTTGTTGGTACCTACTTTCCTTGTACTAAAGCTTGTAAAATTAAATGGGACAAAGTCTTTCAGCATTCCTTGGTGTTCCTCCCAGCCTCTTTCAAAAAAAAATTGCAAATTTTTTTTGTGTTTACTTACTTTGTCTCAATATTTTGTTTAGGTTGAACAGATTCTTGCTGAATATAAGATTAAAGCCCTTGAATGCCATCCTGACAAGCATCCTGGAAACCCAAAAGCAGGTATGTATTCTTTCCTGTGTAAAAACAATCATTTTTTTTTCTTCTATTATCGTGGCAAGATAGTAAACTCAGCCTTAAAACTTTGTTTCCCCTCAGTATATTTTAATCAGGGTGTGCATTGAGCACATTCTATTAAAACAGCAAGCTTGTGATATTCTTTCTAAGACTTGCACACTCCTTTGTGATAGTGAAGGAAGACACTTGTTGGATTTTTTTTTATTTCTAGGACCTTGAATCTTTTTTCTTTCTACAGTAGATCATCTTTTGATACAGAATTTATTTCTGGAGTCTGTCCCTTCCTAGGCCTGAGGAGCTGGTGTACTTCCATGCTCAGTGGCCCTCAAGTGCCACACTTGCATCGATCAGTTAATTTACTGGCAGGAACAAGCCTGTGAGGAACACATAAATGTGCTTTATTTTCTTTTAATGTAATTTAATGACTGGAAGGGAAGAGAAGGCAGCCCTAGGAGGAGCCTCTGCAGAACAGCAGCTGATGTTTGTGTTGATGAGAGGGAGCAGCTCCTCAGAGCTGGGAGGACTGAGCAGCACCTGAGTCATTTGGAGCCAATCTTTACCCATTCAAAGCCACAGAGAGCCCTGGGCAGAGCTCACCAAGGCTGAGGTACAAAAAAGAGCAGCCAAGTGCCAAATATCAGAGCAGCTTTGTTTGGCACAAAGAAATGTTATTCTCTCTCTTTACCTGAACATGCCTTATTTACTTAAATACCTTTTCACAGTACTAGTGAGAGTTTACTTTGAGTTTTATTTCATCAGCCTAAGGTTAATAAAGAATAATTAAAGTAGACCTTTTATTTGTTGAAAACTAATGACACTAGAATAAGAAAACCTAGTAATATTAGAATAAGAAAACCTAGCACAATTGTTCCCTCAGCCTGTTGTCTCTTGTTTGATTTATTGTTATCAATTTTGATTAGTGTTTGGGTGTAGTGTATTTCAAAAGAACTCTCTCTAATTTATAAACTGAATAAATGAATAATAGTAATAATAATAGATCACTGTTACATAGGTGAGTCATAGATAAAGTCTAAATCTTTATAACCCTTCCACAAATAGTAACATGCAGCTGCATCCTTAGTAACCATTCCATAAAAAATTACCCTGTAGGGAAAAATGAGAGTTCTTACTCGTTCAGTCTGGATAACATTTTAGCATACGTGGAAAATATACCTAATAAAATGCACAAGTTAATTAATCTGAACTATATTTAGATTATTATTCTTGTCAGTTCCTGTTCATCTTTTTTTCTTGCTGCTCATGGTTCTTGTTGCTGTGCTCTGCTCTGACCCCTGTGCTGCTGCAGATCTCAGTGTGTTCCTTCTAAGCAGTGTTGCTCTAATTTCCCTTTTTAAGGTGGTCTGCAGGGGCTGACTTGTGCCTTTTACCTGTGCACTCTGCAAGTTTCTCTCAACTTACGTTTAGGAGCTTTTGAAGCTGGTAGACAAAGGAACATTTCAGTTCTGATTTGCAGGGGTATCAGTCCACCAAAGGGGCTGTGATCCTAAAGGCAGCCAGAGCTGTGCAAGCTGGACCCAGAACCACATCCCTTGGCCACTTGCTTCTCCTTTGGTCTGAGCCATTGCCGGCAGGTTCCCTTTTGCATCTGAATTCATATATTTGCCAAGCAAAGCTTGTCCTTGCTGTGGTTTTTGTGTGTGTCGCAGTGGAGGATTTCCAGCGGCTGCAGCAGGCCAAGGAGACGCTGACCAACGCGGAGCGGCGGGCGCGCTACGATCACTGGCGCCGGAGCAGAGTCCCCGTCCCGTTCCGGCACTGGGAGGCGCTGAGCAGCTCCGTCAGGACGGTCCGTGCTGCGGGGATGAGTTACAGCTCTGCCTTCTGCCGAGTGCCAGGCTCTGGCCGTGGGCATGGTGCAGACACGTTCCTCACTGTGCATGTGGCCTGGTTCAGGGCAAATCTGGGAGAGAATCTCCAAAGGGGCTCCTCTAGGAAAGCAGATTCAATCGGCCCCTCCCCCAGCCGGTCCGGGAGAAAAGACCTCCTTGGAGAAAAGTGGAGAAAACCTGTCTATTAAACAATAAAACCTAAACAATATTAAACAATAAAACCCCTTGTTGCTCCAAAAGAGATGACAACCTCAGAAAGTCCCTCTCCCGGTTGCAGTTCAGCTCACTCAGGCTCTGATCAGTCCGTCTGGTGCTGGAAATGCCGCAGGCCAGGCCCGGCCTGGTGGGCCACAGGTGCTAGCTGCCAGTGCTCCCCTGGGTGTTCAGTCCAGAGCAGGTTAAACAGGGCCAAAGAAAAGGAAAAAACCCCACAGTCCAGGGAACTTTGCCTCAGCAAGCTAAAACTAACTAAAAGCAAAGGAGAGCTCTGTCCCGCTGTCTGTCCATCCACAGACAACACAGTCCAGGAGCAGGAATGTGGAGGAGTGAGTGCAGTGTCTGAAAACAAACTGCTGCTGCTTCTCTGCCCCCTTCACTCTCTGCAACAAGGCTTAAAGGTGCAAAACTTATTATGCAGCATAAACAGAACAAGACAACTGGGGATAAAAGCATCATATGGTCAACCTAGGACAGGACGTTAAGGAAATTCAGGGAAAATTGGAGCACTTCGGGAGCCCATTCACAGAAGGGCGTTAGGCCAGTAGTTTTAGAGTGAATTTATCAAGTTGCTGCTTTTATAGGAAGTTTAAGTAACTTGAGGGTTGTTTTCAAATGCTTCACTTTGTTTTTGTAGGAAATTTTTATTTATTTTTGAATTTAGGTTAAAGCTGGGATCTTTTTATAATATATTCTCCTCTTGGTATATTGCTTATTAGATAGGTTTTCATGTTGTCTGATTAAATAAAGATGTCATTGAAAAAATCCAGGGGGTAATTCCTTGGAACCCTGAGCTTCCCTCCTAGCTTTGGAGGGACTCTGAGGGGCTGGTGGGGTGATCTGGGACAGAGGCAGGAGCTTTTTGGGTGATTTCTTTCCTGAATTTGCTATTGAGAAGATTTGAAGCATGCCCTTAGTAGAGCTCAATTCCATAATATTGGATTGGACTACATGGTCATATTTTAAGGCAGGTGAATAAAAGTTTCCTATGTGAATTCTGCTCATCTCAATTCTGCTTAGGAGAAAAGATTGACACTTCAACTATGGCATTATGCCTGAGCTTGAATGTTTGGTGGAAATATCCAATTAAGCCTAGTTCAATTCCAAACATGTTATTCCACAGACTTTAATATTAAATATTTTCAAATTGCCTTGCCTTCAAAAGGTACTCTGAAGTCAAAGACAGCTTTGAAAATGAACATTTCTGAAGTCACTCAAGCCCTCTTAATAAAAGTCTGAATTCATGACAGAAGAAACTGGAGAAAAGGGCCTTAAAATTCTGATATACATTTTGTTCTTCACCCCCACCTGCCATAAAGTCTCCTCTCCAATGCTGTTTATGACATGTAACCATACTTTCCCTATCCCATTGACCTGCAGGCTTCTCAATGTGCTTTGTTTAACCATTTATTGCTGCAATATAAAAAAGAAAAAGTCATTTAAAACCCTTAAAGCATAGGGCTTAGTTCTTTGTTCTGTTTGCATTCCTTTAGTCAATGCACTGGGCTGTCCAAAGTAAGAAGGACCAAATGCTGGAAGCTCCTGATGACTTTGGTAATACCAACAACATAACTAACGAGATGTGGGCCCAACAGACGGAAAGCAGTGGAGAGGGATTGTTGGAAGGGAGCAGGGAACAAGAAGATGTTGCAATCCCTGATGTGCAACCACAGTCTTCAAAGAATCCAGACTCCCCAAGTAAGTGAAAACAGCAGTTACAGAAAATTGCAGTATCCAGGGATTGGCCTGAAATGGGGGCTTCAGTCATGAGAAAGTCTTCTCCAGAACAGTGTGTTGAACTTTTAGCTTTTTAAATGTGGTTTTGGGTTGGGATTTTGGTTTGGGTTTTATGCTTTTGATTACTTATTTAATTTTGAAGTTTTCAGATGCTCCTTCCTCCCTATCCCAAGTTTCCTTCTTTGTTTGCTAGTAAAAGCTGCAACTGGAGAAGGAGAAAAAAAAATGATTCAGCTAAATGGAAAGTTTAGTTTTTCTGATATATAAAAATGCAAAGTAAAAAGAGAAGGCAGTTATTTTCAGTGACTTAAAAATAAATTTTAGAACTGTTAAGTAAAATATTTAAGCTTGGGGTTTTTTAATCCATTATTCAGTGTTTTTGCACAGTTTTATCTGATGAATTAATGAGGTCTAAAATTTGAGACTTGAAGGCTTCTTTTGTATTCAAACAGTTTTGTTTTTTCTAAGTAGTGATGCACCAGAATAAATGTGTGTTTCAAAAGTGTCCCCTGGCAGTCAGCATTTCCTGGCTGTGGTTGAGGTCACTGTACCTGACCAAAGCCTCCTCAGCACCACAGGCACCCTCTGTGCTGCCTGATCCTTCAGCAGTTTCATAATCCCAGCCCATGGTAGCACAGAGCTATTGTTAAACAAAATCCTGCCATTTCTCCCCAGTTTGATCAAATGGCAAATTAGGGTCAACTGTGAGGGTAGCAAAACCTAATGCAATCCCAAACATTTGTGGAATGCATAAAATTGATAAGAAAATTCTACAAGGAAGTGTATACCAGGCCTAACTGAAAACTTGATTTTGAAAAATTATGCTCTATAACTTCATACTATTTGCACTTTTTTTTTTTTTTTTTGGTAATTAAATCATCACTGTATCCTTTGTAGAACAGGAAAATTCTGAAGTAAACATCATCTTGTTCCTTGTAATGGTGAATATTCTTTTCAGGCCTCTTCTTTCTCAAGTTTTTTATTTTTTTAAGTTTTAATTTAATTTCCAGATATTTGAATGGAAAAAAATCAAACTCATCAAGTGCCTACTTAATTTATCCAGTAGCATATATTCACATGAATAAATGTTAATGTTATAATATATTTGACAGGGTGTGTATGCACTTCAGTGTTTATACCCCATGTTAGGGTGTTGATAATGTTTTTGGTTTGATCCAGCAAAAATTGCTATATTGGGTTCTACTTTGAATCCATGGCATTGTCTGTTCCTGTTACTTGTGGTATTTTCGGGTCCCCAGACAGAGGAGGAAGGAAATGATTTATCTGACTCCATGTTCTTAGAAGACTAATTTATTATTTTATGCTATTATATTATATTAAAGAATGCTATACTAAAACTATACTAAAGAATAGAGAAAGGATACAGACAGAAGGCTTAACAAGATAATAATGAAAAACTCCTGACTCTCCAGAGTCCCGACACATCCAGACTGTGATTGGTCATTAAGTCAAAACAATTCACATGAAACCAATCAAACAATGACCAGTGTGTAAACAATGTCCAGACCACATTCCAAAGCAGCCAAACAGAGAGAAGCAATCAGATCAATATTGTTTTCATTTTTCTCTGAGGCTTCTCAGCTTCCCAGGAGAAGAAATCCTGGTGAAGGGATTTTTCCAGAAAATATGACAGTGACAGTCACTGGCCTGGATGAATTCTGGACTGCCACCTACATGGCTATTTCAGCTCAAACAACAGATTTGAACACTAATTCTGCTCACAGGATTCAGTTTGCTGTAAAAGGAAGGTCACATTTTGGTATGAAAAGGCCTCAGATCACACTTGCAGATTTATCCCATCACCAACTCCCTCTCCTTCCCTAGATCAGGCCACTGGAATTTGTCAGCTTTGCTTTGTGAGTCCCCTGCAGGACTGCCAGGGTCCTTGCTGTTCTCCTTTGGGACCTTCCCAGCTGAGCTCTGGTGAGGGTTGGTGTTTGATTCTTGTTCCAGCCTGCCAAGAACTCAGTGCTCTGTTTGTCCCTGCTAGTCAAGAGCACTGGAAGTGACCACTTTTCTGTTTACTTCTTTCTGGGAAGACCATCAAGTACTATTTCAGAAAATTAAATTTTATGCATGCTTATAATAATTTAATTGACTTTCTCTTTTTTCCCCTCAGGATTTTCAGAGGGGAATTACTGGCACTTGCGTTTCCGCTGGTCAGGCGATGCTCCATCAGACCTTCTGAGGAAATTCAGAAACTATGAGATCTAAAATGAGAAACACACAGGAGCATGAGATCATCTGTTCAGCATTCCCTTTGTATTTTTTAACAGCAGTTATAAGTTATTTGTATTTTGTATTCTTTATTGAAATGTGTTGTTCTAGTCAATGTCGAAATACTGATTTATCACACATGCTGTGAGCATTACAGATGGAGACTTTTCTGTTCCATAACCTTTTCAGTATTAATAGAAAGTGATGTTGTGAAGTTATCTAACATCTTGTACATTGTTCCTTATATTCTCAAATATTGTGTAGTGATTAATATTTCTTTCAATAGTGTGATGTTATAGAAAACATACTCTTAGTAGAACCCTGGGCTCCAGGGTATCCTACTCAGAGAGGATCTTCCGAAAGCTTTATGACAATGTGAACTATAAACAGAGCTGTGCTTATCTCTGTGCTCTGCTTCACTTCTCCATTGCATTGTACTCGCTGCAGTGATTTATAATGTACTCATTACAAACTTAACTTGTAGGAGAGTTGTGATCTTATGTTATAGATGAAATAAGAAGGTTCTTGTTATCCAAGGTCTCTGTGACAGATCAAGCACTCCTAAAAATCACTTGTCTTCTCTACCTTAACGAGAACACTTTTTGCATCAGCAATATGTTAGTTTTGGAAGGCAGTTTCAGAACTTTACTTCTCCAGATAGCAATTTTTGTCTTAAGAGGTATTAGTGGAAGACTGATTCCCTGTGTATATGTGCCAACATTGTCCTGTGGCTTCAGAGCAATTCCCCTCCCTGCTCAGGTGTGCTAGACTTGGTTTTACCAGGGTTTTGTGCAGTGAGGAATGAAACATCAGACTAGTCAGCACTAATGTGTACAAAATCTCACATGAAAGTTTTTTATACTTTGGGCAACTTTTCAAATTCTGCATTGTTGTTTATTTATTTTGTGTTTGTTTTCTTCTTTGCAAACTTGGCTAATATGTCAGGTATTGACATTGTGGTTTTGTGCAGGCAGGTAATTCCATCAGCAGCAAATAAAATTTCATGCATACAGAAAAGGGGTTTCTTTCATCTTTTTAATTAAATCCTCCTCCCACCACAGAGATTCCTTTGGAATTTCTTATTATTTGTCATCTTAGTGGGTAAAAGCTTAAGGAGTCCAGTAAGGAATCCCAGGCAGTGCAATGGAAAGTGCAACCAGGCGAGTGCAGTGTTGTGCCCACATGGGAACAATCTGCTGTCTGTCTGTCTGTCTGTCCCTGGAGGGGTGTGTGTGGCTGGGCCGTGCTGTGCTGCCTGAGTTACTGAGCCCCTCCTGCCTGGGGCCTGTTTGCCACCTGCTGTGCCCCGGTGCTGTTACTGGAACCCAGGAACGGGGGGATCTCACTGACCCGGTGGGCACCTGTGCCCTGCAGCCAGCGCTCCCCTGGGGCTGCCCCCTGCCACTGCTGCTGCTGCTGCTCCCAGCTGCTGGTAGCTGAGTGCTGGGGCTCTGCTGCTGCAGCCACGCTGGCCTAGTGGCCTAGAGTGGATGGCATTGGTACCCAGAGCCACTTCTGTAGCACATCATCTTTCATTTTACATGCTTTTCCCTTGCATATTCTGCAGCTGCAAACATTATGAGATTAATAATTCTCTGTAACATGTGTTAAATATATCTGGTTTGGTTTTTTCTGGTGCATTTGTTGCTTTACTTCATACAAAGGTATTTGCTCAAGAAGGACTTTGGTCCATTTTATATAATGTCTGTCAAACAATTGTAACAGAAGAAACTCTTACTGTATGTGAAGGAAACTAATAGGGAACAATTTTCCCTCCAACAAAAAGATGGGAGTGCAGCCATCTGGAGCACTTTGAATCAGATGGCAGCCCAGATTCTCCTCTGCCCATTTCACTTACCACTAAAGGTAAAAAGGGGTAGTTGGATGGATGATTTAGCACCTAATGAGCTGGTTCCTTTGAGAAGTGAACACACAATAGACCTTTGAACAGCAAACTAATAGTTTGTGTCATTAAAACTGATGTCATTATTAGCCAATTATTGCGTGGTTGGTTTTGGCAAAGAACCTTTGGATGTTTGTTCTAGATGAATAACTGCAGACATTTGGAAGGCTCTTAGCCCAGTAAAAGCTCATGGCAAAAGTTGTGTTTTGCAACAACCTGCTCAAGATCAGCCCTGTAATTTGTACTTGTCCTCATGAGGAGGGCAGGTTCTAACTGGTGTTCCAGTATGCCAGTGCCACCAATACAGACTTCTTTTTTTCCATTTCTGTACATGTTAAACTTGAAATGGTCCATTTTCTGTATTTCCTGAGTTGAATGAATCTATTCCTAGCAGAGCAAACTCAGATGGATTGGAAAACAAGAGGAGCCTGTGCACCCTGTTCTGCTTTTCATTCCCCAGAACCAGGTGGGGCCTGGCCTGTTGGCCAGTAACAAGAGTTAACTGGTATGAGTGGGCAGCCCAGTTCTCCCTCATGTTAGAAAGTAAAGAAAGCACCTGACAGCTTAGTCAGTGTTAGATCATTCAGGGTCTACACCCCAAGCAGAAACTGTTTATCTGCTTCTTTAAAGAAACAGCGCTTTTAGAAGCTTTTTGCTAGTGGTGTGAAAAGATCCAGTGAATGTCCCAGCTGACATTCCAGCAGCAGTTCTGGGGTGCTTTGTCCCCTGCACTGGTGAGCACCAAACGTAATTCACACGCTGGAGCTTTAACTGGGGCAGGGGTTGTGGTGGATCTCAGGCTCTGTGAAGGTGTGATTGAGGCAGCAGAGTCAGAGGTTCATGGTTTTCAGGGGCCCACTGAGATCTTTAACTCTCTTTGCAAAGTGGAGACAGCAGCAAAGGGGGTGGGGAACAGCAAACCCAGACACAATTAGATTAGGGCCTAGGAGTCTCAAGCTGGAGGAGTGCAGCCCTCTGGAGCCATGGTAAGCTCCTCTTTTCTTCTTGAACTCCCCTTGGAAGTACCTTAGGTGGGCAGTAAAGGGTCCTGATTATTTGGGGTACGTGAGGGCTCTGATTTACTGTGCTGTGTCACAGCTCTGAATGATTCGGTATGAAAATAAACAGAGTTTTGAGGTGAGCCCAGAGCCTCTGGAGTCCAGACAAAAATGTTGATAAAACCCAGCCCTCACTGGACTTGTGAAGGCTGAGGAGTTTTCATCTGGAAGTTACGAGACAGCAGACGGGGTGCAAGTGTATGATGATAAAATACAGAGTATAGGGAACGTCGTTTAATGCTGTGTTGCCAGGCCTTTGAACTATTTTTAAACAGAAATTAAGCAACTACTTAGCCAGTTATTTACAGTGAAACTGAATAGCATGGGGGGATTCTAGAATTATATAAAATGAATTTATCTTTATTTGCTGCTGTTGTGCTTGTGCAAGTGCTCAATATATAAGATTATCAAGAACTAAAGCATCCTCAACCTTTTTGTTTTGCCAATATTTGAGAAGTTGCTTTGCCAACATTTGCCAAGTGACAGTGTAAGAGTTAGTTTGGATGATAAACACAGACAGTACATGACTTAAAATCTCAGGCTGAGTAATGTTGAATGATAGGTAAGGTCGTTTCTTGACTGTTTGTTTTCCTCTTTAAATGAGATTTTTAACAAAGGCAGTTTATATGTTCTATAATAGAAGCAAGTATCCTGATTATTAAAAGAGATACTGTGTATCTTTAATTTCCTGAGCATCAACATTGCTATCTTACCTTTCCAGCAGGCTCATCTCTCATTTCAGGATATGAAAGTGTAAGCAGTGAGGCTGTTGTAAAGCTGATGAAATTACACAGCAGAAGATAAAGCCACTCCGCAGGTCGCTGGGCTGTATCACTGTCAGACGGGCAGATGATGATTATCAGCTCCTTCGTGCGGGAGTTTGGTTGCAGCCCGGTGCAGACGCTCCCCCTGCTGCCGGCAGGGTTTGCAGCCCTTCCTTGGTGCTGGGGCCACACGTAGAGGACAGTGACACACCTGGGTGGTGAGAGCTCAGTTTAAGCCAATCGTGGATGGTTGGGGAGTGCTGCCTTGGTTTGTTTTCCCTGGTTATTAATGGCATAATAACTTCTGTCGATTTTTTCCCCATCAACACCATACTGTGTGTGTATGTGCATCATGCATGTGCAGAAGGTCATAAAAAGCAGGAAAAGGGGATTGAGGGCCCCTCTCACTGGAGGTCCAGGAGGAATCAGACCAGCTTCCTTCAGGAAAGGCAAGGTTTGACGGAGCAACTCTATTCCTTATAGAGAAGCCTTCTGCTGGCAAGATTTAATTTATTTTGTATCAGCTGTAGGACGTGGGGGCAGAGCAATAGATCTTTGGGTGAATCAGGACACTGTTTGTGTGTTAGGCATTGGATGAATGCTGAGCTTTGCAGCTGGATGCTGTCTGTCCTGCCTGCAGGGCCTGGAAGCTGAGCTGTTGAAAGAGCACCAACCCCAGGTGCTGTTCTCTCCCCTCCATCCAGGGCTCTCGTCACTGCTTGGAGGTGCAACACCAGAACCTTGCCCTGGGTCCTGCTGCAGCTTTGGCACTGCTGTTCCTTCTGGCAGAGCCAGGGGAGGAGCGGGTGGGCACGGCCTGAAGAGCTGCGGTAGGATAAAGATCACAGGGCAGCAAGGATGATGGGGGCACTGGAGCACCTCTCATCAGGAAAGGCTGAGGGAGCTGGGCCTATTCAGCGTCACAAAGAGATGACTGAGAGGGGACCTCCTTACTGTGTACAAATATCCAAAGGGGATGCCAGGAATGTGGAGCCAGACTGTACTCGGTGGTGCCCCGCAATGGGACAAGAGGCAGTGACCAGGAACTGCCATCTGAACGCGCTTCTCTCCCCTGCAGCGCCCGAACAGCGGCCCGGCCTGCCCGGGGAAGCTGTGCAGGCCCTCAGGCCGATGTTCCCGAGCCGGCTGATGTGGCCCTCTGGGAGCACCGGCAGCAGCGGATGATGGCTGTGCGGGGCCTGCCCCGCTCTGTGCCCTTATCCCAGCCCATCGCTCTGGGCGCTGCTGGTGCCGGAGAGGAACCGTGAGCAGTAAAAGTGCACCCGGCAGGGAATACGAGGAACGAAAAAAGCGAAGCCCCTCCGGGCCGCAGCGAGCAGGGTTCGAACCTGCGCGGGGAGACCCCATTGGATTTCAAGTCCAACGCCTTAACCACTCGGCCATCGCTGCTGATGCTGCTCACGCTCTTGAGCTGAACCCTTATAGGGCGTTCCGCCCGACGCAGGCCCCGCCCCCAACCCGTGCAGCCAATGGGCGCCGCCGGCCCCGGCCCCGCCCCCTCAGCAATGGCGGCCGCAGCTCGGCAGGAGCGGCGCAGGAGGAGCAAATGCCAATGAACACCGGAGAGTCTCGGCCTGAGGGACAGGGGCCACGCCCGCTCCAGCGAATGGAACCTGAGCCTGGCAGGGAGGCGGCAGCCAGGAGCTCCTGCATAGACAGCAGCCATTAGGCGCTGCATTAGCTTTCTGTGGCGTTAATGTTTTTCCTGGTTGTACTATTTCTTTCAATTATTGCAAAATCTCTATTACAAAATCTCGAAAGGTATCTGTCATACAACCTTTATATGTAAATTAATTCACTGTAGATAATTTTTTTTTTACTCTAGCAACAGTTAATTATGCCAGCAGTAGTACAATGGAAATTAAATTTCATTTTACTTTCTACCTGTGTTGCAATGGGTAAAAATAATAGTTTTTCCCGATTTTTAATCTATACTTTGAACAATGTGGAAAATGCGTATTTCATGATTGGCTTTTCGCAAATATTCAAATTATTATTATGTGTGTTATGTTAGAATGTTATGCTGTATTCTCTTAAGCAGTGTGTTAAATATAGTTTTATGTTATAACAAAATGTTAAAATAGAAACTATGCTGTGTAGGAAACTTTTTTTCTAAAGAAAGGACTCGCACTGAGATAGCAGCCACAGGACACCCAAATCTTTCAGAGAAAGAGAATTTATTGCTCCATTATCAGGAGAAACGAACTTCTTCCCGCCTCGCTTGGGCAGAACGACGCTGTTAGGATTAGGAGGAAGAAGCTGACGATGACC